CTCTTCCCTATGTGGCCTGTCTGGCTTCTTATTAGGACAGGGAGGGGAGACAAAGAGCTAGGAGAGGCCAGCAGGAGGAAGGCTCAAACTCTTGTCCCTACAGATGTGTGAGAATAAAATTTGAGCCTTGTCCTGGGCCCTACTCCCCCAACTCCCTTTCCATTTCCTGTTGGAACACAGGGCTCCATGGGGAAGGTAATAAGGGGTCCTTCTCTGGATGAAAAAAAAAAGTCAGTGGTTTGAACCTACCAGCCATTCTGTGGGAGAAAGATATGGTAGTTTGCTTTCATAAAGATCACAGCCTTGGAAATGCTATGGGGTCAGTTCTACTCTGTCCTATAGGGTTGCTATGAGTCAGAATTGACTTGATGGCAGTGGGGTTGGTTTTTCTTTCCTTTTTTTTTTTTTTTTTTTTGAGGTCATAGATTTGGCTCCAAGTTAATTCAGCAATTTGCTGAAAGCCAAGCCTCTGAATGAGCAATTCATCAAATGGGCCATTCTCTGAAGGATCAAGTTGATGTATGGCTTATTCACCAAAGCATATTAAATTTACTGATTTACCAAAAATGTTATTGTTATTGTTTAATTACAGAGTTTACAGGTGTTGTGCAGTGAATTACTTAATGTGGTCCTTTTAGCCTTAGTCTTTGTGACTCCCACACAATGACTGGTTGGGACCATGCAAATAAGGTTCATGGAACCTGTGATGGTTTGGGTTGTGTCAACTTGGCTAGGCCATGAGTTCCAGTGGTTGTCCTCAATCTTGTGATCTGATGTAATTATCCTCCATTGTGTGTGTTGTAAATCCCGACCTCTCTGTGTTAATGAGGCAAGATTAGGTTATGTTGATGAGGTTGTGCTGGTTATGTTAATGAAGCAGGATTAGGGTGAAATGCACTCAGGTCACCACCCTTACTCAATTCACCATAATCACCACCCTTGCTTGAGTCATACCTTTTATCTTACAAGAGATAAAAGGAGAGAGAATGAAGCAGAGATGGGGGAACTGACTACTACTACTAAGAAGAGACAGAAGTAGAGTACATCCTTTGGACCCTGGTTCTCTGAGCTGGGAACCTCCTAGACCCAGGAGACAGTGAGAAGCAGCGTCAGAGAAGCAATGGCAGTGGAGGCAGCAGAACCAGGAGACCAGCTGGAGATGGTGTGCTGGGATCCTCACCCAGAGTGAGAGAGCTGAGTGCCTTTGTCAGAGGCTCACTGGCAGAGTGAGGTGCACTTATCAGCAGAGCTTTGTAACACCTACCCAAGCTTTGTAACACCTACCCAAGCAAGGCAGAGACCAGGCCCGCCCCAGAGGCCTGAGGAGCCATGAGGCTGAGAGAGGTGTGCTTGCAGAAATAGCTGGAAGAAGCTGGCCTGACTGAAGAACCATATCCTGAGTTGATCCTAATTGTAACCTGTTACTTCCCTAATAAACCCTATAACTGAGTTTGGTCTGTGAGTTCTGTGTGGCTATTGCAATGAGTTACTGAACCCAGCAGAAAAGTAGAGCGTGCCATAGGAGGAACAGCTAGTGTCAGAATTGGTAAAAAGGTTGGTGTGTGGAAGCATGTCTGACCTCAACCTCATAGGAATCAGCCTTGGGCTTCTGATGGTGATTCTCTCTTTCCCTTGTGAAGTTAGAGGAGGTCAGATGCCTCTGACACTGCCACATGCCATTGCCAATAGCAATTCACTTTGGCCAAATTTGAATGGCCTAAAGGCTGTGGAGAGCCAGTTCCCTAGGGTTAAGGCACCTTCAGACATCTTTCCCATCCCCATCCCCACCCCCACCTTCAGTCTCTCCCTCCTCTGGGGATTGGCAGCCCAGAGAAACTACGTTTTTCCCCAGCAGATGACCCTGTCCACCTCCCAGCTCCCAGCTGCAGCAATAAGAATCTGAGACAGTGGCAAACTGAACTTAAAATGATGATAAACTCACCAGACTCAATGCCATCGAGTTGATTTTGACTCACTGGGTTTCCAAGGCTGTAAGTCTTTATGGAAGCAGACTGCTTCATCTTTCTTCTGCGGAGCGGCTGGTGGGTTTGAACCACTGACCTTTTGGTTAGCAACTAAATATGAAGACCCAAATTAACACTTGTCAACATAATTATAGGAATGCTCAAAGGCCATTCAAACCATTCTTGGACTGATGGCCATGGGAACCTGGATGCCTTATGTAGTATCCACACATTCCGGGAACAACACTGGTGTTGAGAAAGGGAACAAAGGGCTACCCTTCTGGAAGAGGCTCAGAAAGATAGTGGGCACATTCTGGACTCCAGATGAAAATCTGAGAACAGGGCACTAGCCACTGTGAATCTCAGAGGGGGGAAAAAAAGCATTGTAGTTAGGAGTACAGATTTTGGAGCCAGATAGTCTGGATGTGTGGATTTGTTTCCTCATTGTAACATGGTAATAATAGTCTCTATGTATCAGTCAGGGTCCCAGCAGGAAATAGTTGGTATGCTAAAATCAGTATAGTTAGGGAAAGATTAAGTAAAGGGAATATTTACAAAGGTATGGATGGGCACCAGTAAAACCAGTCACTATCCCAACTCATGGAGATCCTGTGTGTGCCAGTGGAACTATGCTCCATAGGGTTTTCAATGGATAATTTTTCAAAGCAGATCACCAGGCCTTACTTTTGAGGCTGTTCTTGGTGGATTTGAACTACCAACTTTTTGTTTACCAGCTGAGCATGTAAACTGTATGCACCACACAGGAACTCCAAGGCATGGGCAGAGTAAGTATCTAGGAGAAGTGCAGCTCAACGAGGATAGTAACAGTTGGGCATGAAGGGTTGAGTGGAGAGAATGGTTGCCCTCACCAGACTGAGAGGTTGTGTAGATAACTGTCCAGAGAGGTGTGACCCTTCTCCATGCAGGTTGCCAAAGGTGAACCTGTAGGGAGAAAGAAACCTGGAGGATATATACTTTATATACTTCCATCTCACTCTCCTCACTTCAGCCAGATCTCCTACCTGTGTTTCCCATTGTCTGGAACCACCTGGAAACCAGAGGGCCTGGGAGACCTCTTTGTTACGGTCCATTCAAGTCAGCCTCCCAGGGTAGAGATGAATGAAGAGTGGATCTGAAAGGGCAAATGGAAAGTATCCAGCGTAGTATCTAATAGGGTTATGGTAATGATTAAATGAAATGAAGCACATAAAACACTCCCAGACTGGGAGTTGTTATTTATAGGAAAAGAAATGGCTCCCTTTGGGATATCTGCTTTCATGCAGCACAAAGATTGCCTCCAAGGAATTTGTAACCATTCATGAAGTTAGTGATTTCTCATAAGTGAACAGATGAAGCAGTAGCAGGGATAGGAAGAATATCCAAGACTCAAGGGAAAAGATGCAAAAGGTGCCAAGACTTCTAGCTTCTTCAGAGGAGCTCTGGTGGCGTAGTGTCGAAGGCATTTGACTGCTAACCAGAAGGCTGGCAGT